CAATGACAGTCCCAACTACCGTTTGATGCTGAATTTTCCGGGCGATATAGCCGTCCAAAAGATCGGTGACAGAGGCGTAAGCAAAAAGCGAAAGCGCTAAGATATCGTAAGAGTGTAGGATGCAATATCCAATCACTGGTGCAGCAGCTAGTCGGGAAAAGGTTAAGATATTGCGCTATCGTATAGATATTTTCGTGAACTGGGAGGGGGAGACGAGAGAGTAGGCGAGCAGTTTTCGTGGTCGGGCCGCTATAATGGATTAGGAGAAATCAGGAATGTATAATGTGAAATATATAGGGAAGGCATGGTATTCGAAACATTGAAATAGCGATTACAATTGATACGCTCAATCATATCAGTAAAACGCTAGGCGTGCTGAAACGGCAAGGATAATATCTCAAGAAGGGGCTGCACAGCAATCCAAAGGGAAACTCTGAAAAACATCAAGAAGGCTTCTTACGTGTTCTCTTTAATATCGTCTTTCCCTTTACCTAGTGGAGGCCCTGTAGTTAAAAACCTACGCCCAAGGGGTGTCCATCTCAGCGAAGCTACTCGATCCCAATTCATCGCTGTGGAAACAACGGTCGAACATTTTCTAAGGCTTATATTAGATGAATTGGGATCGAAGGGGCCAAGCACCAAATGTACAATCAATGGCCATTAACAAGGGTATGGCCCGTAAGATGCTTCTGGTTCGCTTTCACTTACCTTGACATTGGGGGTTCTCCTGGATAGCCTAGGGGAACTTGGGCATGTCTGGAGCCCTTATGGAAATTTGGTCTTGGGCATGGCGGAGATGAACAATAACCCCGAATTAATTGGTCAATCGCGCGTGAATGCGCGCCCTTTGATTCCGCAATACCACAAATGGTAGAACCCGTCCCGCGAAAGTGATTGGGTGGCCGTGAGCCGATTCGAGAAGCCCACGAAAGGGGAAACAATCTCATGCTTGCCATCGGCGCAGACTTCTGAATAGTCGAATATCCTAGGAAACTTAGCCCCCTAGCAGGTGCTAGTTAGGTGCGTCGGTCGTTCTTCCCAGCCGTCCTAGCTTGTGACCCTAGCAGATCACCGAACTGAGCAGTGCCACTGGCAGGCCGACGACTGCTATATTGAAAGAGCGGAGGATAAATATCTCGGCTCAGAATAGATGTAAATGCGTAAATTCTGTTATTGAAACATGTTCCGCTCGTTCTGTGAGGATGTAGTCACTTATTTTATTAAGTCCGTCCACTATCCTGATATGGAAAACTGATATCACAAAGAGATGCGAGCACGGCCGCGATTGAAATGGTATAAAAAATGCGAAAAAAAAATGCAAGATGACGAAAACAGGAACACCAATGGTTACCTGACTCGCCTGACAAGCAAAAGCCAAAAGGAAGAGGCCAGAATAAGGGATTTACGCATAAGGGGTTGTTTCGACCTGGAAATTGAACTAGGTGCGTCCGCAACCAGTTGATTCGAGAGCGGAATCTGGATCGGGATGGATGCACAATAAAACCAAACTAACTCGGTGCTTTGGAACCAGGAGTAATTCCCGGGCCCGTAAGCAGTTATTCAGGGGACGGGGAGACAAAAGATTTCAATCTGATTGCATGGGTTTTTTTTGTTTCCTCAACTTTTTAATCGAAGCTTTTTGGAGCTTGGATAGCATCCCGGAGGTTGGTTTTTCCGGAACCTTGGAATCGACTACAATCACATGATTGATTCTTCCAAAGTACTTCCATTGGCCATTTGACCTGTCTTACTTTCTATTCTTATCAATTTCTATCAATTATGTATAATCTTGCTCCCCATTTTCTAAGAGTTGCTCTGTTTGATAGCTCGTCGCTTGGTAAATTCATTCAGTACTAGTATTTAATAATCTTTGAAGCTGTGCTACTTACTATTCATAACGGTTTTTCAAAGCTTTGATATATACTCTTACCTAAAAACGTGAGTAAATATCAGAAATACAGTGTGAAATTGTCAGACTATTAAGACGAACATTCTATACATATAATTTACAAGATATGAAAGATAAAGACTTCCCTCTGAGTTATCTGAAATTGTAGTAGTCATTGATGTTTCTCGGCTTTCCTATCTATGTTGAAAATTCTTCATCAATTTAAGTTTCTAGGTAGTGCTGATGAGCATGAAGGTATCAAATATCAGAGATAAATAGTGTCATACTTAGCCTTGAGCAGCTCACTGGCCTAAATGAGTGCCCGTTCATTCTCAGCGTTGGAACATCTTGACTGCCTTGTCAATAAAACCCCTTAAGTCGGGGTCATCTTCTAGGCGTCTCACGCAAGGGCGACCCCGAGTCACTGGCGATAGCTGGCGCTCATACCTGTCCCGATAAATATTCAGGTTCAGAAACGCATGGCTTGGATTAAGCGTTTTGACCTCGGGTCGGCAGATAAATGGTAGGATGTGCTTCGCATCCGTCTGCTGATTTGCCAGCGATGAGAACTGCTCGATCTGGGAGTCTATAAGTTGAAATATATCCGCTGGGTAGGGGGGATGAATATAGGCGGTGTAGCAATGCAAGATATAGACAATTTCATCGCAGGGTTAGTAAATATGTGGAGTTTTCCTTGCTTGCAGTAACTAAGTATTCATATAGCGGAACTGACGTTTCTTGCTCCTTCATCAGCACCCCGATCAAAGACCACGACACCTCCAAATATATGAGTTTCAGCCCAGTACCCAACAACGTCATATACACCTCTCGGATAAATATCGCTTCGGATATAGCACATTGTTGACACTGACACGATGCCTTCTTTGTGAACGCCAGTCATGGTTACTTGTTCCGGGCGGAGTTCTCCATCAGGATGAAAATAGGCAAACAGGTTTGCCGCCATGTCATGAACTGCCACCGCAACCAACTCGAGAAGATGCATGTTGAAGCTATGCGAATAAAGTGGGGCCGCCTGGTATAACTGAGCAGTCTATATGGCGAAATCAGCCTATTACACTTCAACAGAAAAGAGGTGATGAAAGTGAACAAACTGTTTCATTCAAGTCCAGGTTATCAAACATCTCAGAGGAGCTGCAGATCTGGTCAGAGAGCACTTGAGAATGTTGAGAGGCTCCTGTGCATGACAGGAGTTCATAATGCCGAGTTATTGTTAACTCGTATGTTGATTTTACGGGTAACATCTTTCGCAGCTCTGCTATGTAGAACGGTTGAAAGCACCCGCGTGAAAACGCCAGCCTTCTCATGATCAAGATCTGCAAGCCTTACAATTGCGGCGGGTGTGAGAGCCATGTTGAGTAGATACTTGGAAGATATGGTGAGAAGGTAATGCCTTTTGATTTCAAACTTGGAAAACCGAACCTGGGTGTGACTTATTTCATGGATATGATCTGGTTCTAACTCACAACATACCACGGGTTATTGCTAGTGAGACTGCGGACTATTAACTATTAATCCGACAACTGTCGTCAATCGACAAACTCCCCAAACGTTTCAGGAGTGCAGACAAACCGTTCAAAGGCCACATAAACGTCCTGGCACTCATCCGACAACTGACATTCCGTAAAAATTACTGACACATTTTCTTTGAGTCCACAAGGCTGTGTTCCCGTCCTGCCCACTCGATCAAAAAGCACTCTGACTTTATGACTTTGCTTAGCTGACCACCAAGTGAAGTGATAGAACGATATGTCATTAAGCTTCTTGTGAAACATGCATACTAGTATATATATATATATATATCTCTTGAGGAATAGGCTCCTCTACCTTAAGGATTGATCCGTTGTAGTGTAGATGGTTACATCCCGGTGTGGGGTAACTTACTAGTCTGTAATAGGAAGTCTAGGGCCCCCGCCATCTTATCGATAACACATCTGCTGCCCTTTTTTTGTATGACTCCGACTCCCTCACACTTACACCCCACTTCAATCCCCTCCTCTACAGCACCTTCTTTCGCTGCGTTTAAATAAATGCTACATTTACTCCAAGTTCTGAGGCCGTTTTATTTCATGTTTCATGAATCATATTGGTTAGTTCGGGTAGACTGGAAAAACGATTGAATGTGATGCGTTGCTAATATTGGCCTACGATAGTACTAGTTATACCACCCTGTTGCCAATACTGGAGCTTTCTTGACCGATAAACAAAAACTAGAGACCATGGACACTACAATTGATCTTCCTGATCGCACAAAAGTGCCGACGAACATCCAACGGCCGCGCAAAGAAAAAGCCCCCAAAGCCCCCAAGCAGCCGAAGGGCGCTACCCCGCCAAAGACAAGTAAACCTGCCTCCGTAGCCTTCAATGAAGACCCAGACTCGATGTTCAAAACTGGCTTCCTTGCCGACGTTTATAATGAGAGACCAATCGGTTCTGCGCATGTTAAGAAGGTTGTGACCCGTTTCCCGCCCGAACCAAATGGCCACCTTCACATCGGCCATTCCAAAGCCATTGCGATAAATTTTGGTTTCGCGCGATTCTATGGGGGGGATTGCTATCTTCGATTCGACGATACGAACCCTAAAAGTGAGGAGGAAGAATTTTTCATTGCGATTGAAGATATCGTACGGTGGTTGGGGTTTTCGCCGGTCAAGGTCACCTATTCCAGTGACAATTTTGATCGTCTTTATGAGCTGGCGGAAGACTTAATTAGACGAGATGGCGCATATGTTTGCCACTGCAACAGTAAGCATTTTTCTCTTCGACCTAATTATCCTTTCCTTCGATGTGAATTCAGATTAATGGAGAGAAAAAGGGCCCGAAATCCAAGCCCAGCGAGGTGGAGGAGAAGGGGAAGGCAAACGTCGATTTGCGTGCGCACATCGTACTCGTCCCATTGAGGAATCACTTACGGAATTCAGAGCAATGCGCGATGGCAAATATGCAGCAGGAGAAGCCGCATTACGCATGAAGCAGGACATAGAAGATGGTAATCCCCAAATGTGGGATCTCTTTGCGTATCGTGTCATCGATGACAAGGATAGACATCATTTCCGAACTGGGGATAAATGGAGAATATACCCTACGTACGATTTTACTCATTGTCTCTGCGATAGCTTTGAGGGCGTCACGCACTCTCTTTGCACCACCGAATTCGAGTTGTCGCGGGTATCTTACGAGTGGCTTTGCGACAAATTGGAAGTTTATAAACCGATGCAAAGAGAGTCAGTTCCGTATCATTTTTCTGACATTTTTGAATTCTTCTAACGGTATTTCTAGATACGGCCGTCTCAATGTTACTGGAACCATTCTGTCAAAACGTGATATTCTGAAACTTATCGGTGGCAATCATGTCGGAGGATATGACGATCCTCGCCTGTATACACTTGTCGGTCTACGAAGACGAGGGGTGCCTCCCGGAGCTATCCTTTCGTTCGTGAACGAACTTGGAGTGACCAAAGCCAAGACAAATATCCAAGTACACCGCTTTGAGCAATCAGTGAGAAGGTATCTAGAGACGACAGTTCCGCGATTGATGGTCGTTGTCGAGCCCCTAAAGGTTATCATCGATGATCTTCCTGAAGATTACCTTGAAATGGTGGAGCTTCCTTATTCGAAAGACCCCGCATTCGGAGTATGTTGAAACCATTCCTGCAGCATTTTTGAAAAACTAAGCACGGCTTGCGCATGATCGTTTACATGCTCTGACAGCGGTCTTGACCTCTACACCAACCAGCAACTAACCTGCAATATTATTAGGTCCACAAGGTCCCGTTTACAAGGGTCGTTTATATCGAGCAAAGCGATTTCAGAGAAGTTGATTCGGCAGACTACTTCCGACTTGCGCCTGGGAAAACCGTGGGTCTCATGAAAGTTCCATATCCAATCACAGCCACAACCTTTGAAAAGGATCCAGAAACGGGTCTCGTAACCTGTGTTCATGCAAAATATGAAAAGCCAGTAGAGGGATCCGCACCTAAGAAACCGAAAACGTAAGCTCCCAATCCATGCCGTAATTTTCTGCGCAGCTAGTCTCCCAAAACAAATTTGTAAAGAAGAAAAAAAAGCCACGAGATCTAATTCTAACAATATCTGAAGATTCATCCACTGGGTCTCTCTGTCCCCCGAACATTCTAGTCCCATAAAAGCCGAAGTCCGCATTATCAATCGGCTTTTCAACTCCGAAGACCCCAAGAGCCATCCAGACGGATTCCTGGCGGACATTAATCCTAATTCCATGGATATCTACCGCAATGCCATGGTCGATATCGGGTTCCCCGAAATTAAACGCCGCGCGCCTTGGCCTGCAAAGGAGGGCGAAAAGCGATCGAACCCGGAAAACCCCGAGAGACAAGAATATGACATTAGCGGCGCAGGGAATGTCGGCGCGGATGGATCAATCATTCGTCCAGAAACGGTTCGGTTTCAGGGGATGCGGGTGGCGTATTTTGCGCTTGATAGTGATAGTACCGAGGACAAGGTGATTTTGAACCGGATTGTGGCCTTGAAGGATGATGCTGGGAAATAGCAAGAGATCTTTTTGCCCCAGCTGAGCTTGCATCAGTGCGGTTTCCATTCATTTTGCTTGGGGAAGGGTCGATATCGTTAGTTACAGACAATTAAGCTGTTAGATGCTTGAATAAGTTAGTGGTGCGTGTTGCTGGATCTCGAAATGCATAGTATGGTGATTTAGTTATTCTTTTCGAATTTGGTTAGGTGCCAGACAAGGAATGAGCAAATGCTTCTGTTGGACTGCGTCCGACAAACTCTGCTTCATCAAAATCTTCTAGTATGTGTAATATCCGCGGTTTCGTGTACTAGCTGCTACGAGAGTCCTAGTATGAACTATAACAAGAATGGCGATTTGCTAATATAGAATGTACCCATCTAAATGAAGGTTTGTGATAGAAGTCGGCGGTGAAATTCCACATGCCTTCTGTAGGGCCACTGGGACAAAAGAGCTCGATCAACCCCAGCACCATGGTGGTATATAGACGGGATGAACCACCTCCAACGCTTTGCAGCAATTTCACGTGATTAATTGCTTAATCATGCATGACTAACAGGATGAACTGACATCAACGCTCAACGCCTATCGGAAGTCACCTTTAGCCATTAAACCTTTACACATATTTACCCCTTCGGCCTTCCCGATACCTCACCTGTCGCAATGGACGTCGTCGCAGCTGTGTCCGGTTACATCTCGAAGATGGTCTCCGTGGGAGACTCGGCCGCGACTGGATCCTCCACAGCTAAGATGAAGATATTATTGCTTGATAGTGAGACCGTGGGAGACGCGACGTTCTAACCACAATGGCTGGCAGGCTAACAACATTCTTAGGTACCCATCATCTCTACTGCCATGACCCAGTCTGCTCTCCTGAACCATGAAGTCTACCTGATCGACCGCCTCGACAACCAGACCCGCGAGAAAATGCGACATCTGCGATGCCTGTGCTTCGTGCGTCCTTCGGCTGACTCCGTACAGCTTATTATTGATGAATTACGGGAACCAAAGTACGGCGAGTACTACATCTACTTCAGCAACATTGTCCGTAAATCGTCGCTGGAGAGGTTAGCGGAAGCGGATGGGCATGAAGTTGTCAAGGCCGTGCAAGAGTATTTTGCAGATTTCTCTGTGATCAACCCTGACCTTTGCTCCTTGGGTATAGGGTACCCGAAACAAAGGATATGGAGCCAGAGCCCAGATATTTGGAACTCAGATGCTCTCCAGCGAGCGACGGAAGGAGTCATCGCGCTTTTATTGTCCCTGAAGAAGAACCCCTTGATCCGGTACGAGAAGAATAGCCATATAGCTAAGAAACTTGCCACCGAAGTCCGATACCAGCTCACACAGGAAGAGCAACTGTTCAATTTCCAAAGAACAGATACGCCTCCAATCCTACTGATACTCGACCGTCGAGACGACCCTATCACTCCACTATTAAACCAGTGGACCTATCAAGCAATGGTCCATGAATTACTTGGCATTGAAAATGGAAGGGTTGATTTGAGCAATGTCCCAGATATCAGACCAGAACTTAAGGAAATAGTGATATCCCAAGACCAGGATCCGTTTTTCAAGAAAAATATGTACCAAAACTTCGGCGACTTGGGCGGGAACATAAAGGAGTATGTCGAACAGTACCAGTCCAGAACAAAGAGCAACATGAGCATTGAGTCCATTGCGGATATGAAACGATTTGTGGAAGACTACCCTGAATTCCGAAAACTTTCGGGCAATGTCAGCAAGCATGTGACCCTGGTTAGCGAGTTGAGCAGAAAAGTCGGAGAGAATAGCTTGTTGGATGTGAGCGAACTCGAACAAAGCTTAGCCTGTAACGATAATCACACGAATGATCTTAAGGTTGGTTCTATCTACCCCTATACGAACGATCTCAGTACATGAGCTGTAGTAAACTAACTGTTGTCCTATCCAAGGCACTTCAACGCTTAATTCAATCTCCATCAGTCACGGCGGATAATAAAATCCGCCTTGTTGCATTATATGCTATCCGTTATGAAAAGCAGCCTTCGAATGCATTGCCAGTTTTGATCGACCTATTAACAGCGGCTGGAGATGTCTCGCCGAATCGAATTAATATTATCCCAAAGCTCTTGGCGTACCATCACTCACTCCAGGCGCCCCCGGTTGCAGGTGGTTTCTCAGATCTATTTGAATCAGCATCGTTCCTATCTGGTGCTCGCGACCGGTTTAGGCCTCTTAAGGGTGTCGAGAATGTATACACACAGCACTCTCCGCGATTGGAGTCAACTCTCCAAAATCTCATCAAGGGTCGGTTGAAGGAACTCCAATACCCCTTCCTCGAAGGCGGTGGACACACCCGCGACAAGCCTCAGGATATAATCGTGTTCATGGTCGGGGGAGCAACGTACGAAGAAGCGAAGATGGTGGCGCAGGTCAATGCCAGTTCACCTGGTGTCCGTGTTGTTCTGGGAGCGACTTGCATCCATAATAGCGCTAGCTTCCTGGAAGAGGTGGATGATGCTGTTGGCAACTGGCCGGAGCCCCCGCCGACCACAGTTGCAGGCAGGCTTCGTAGGGAAATTGGTCGTTGATTTCTATGAGATAACGGTTTGTTGTTTTGAAACAAGGGCGTTAATAATGTCAGGTGGTTAATACCATCAGTGTATTTTTTCATTCGCTTTATTCGATATTATTTACTTATTTATTTATTTTATTTTATTTTGATGTAGCTTACTCGTAGTAGTCATCCTAGAACGTTTATCGCAATCTTTAAAGTACTCTAACCAGTTAACTAATTAATTCACATGTGAATATTCAGCTCGGCTTCCAAGTCTCGGCGCCGGAGCTTCCCTGTGCCTCCCAACGACACAGGTCTACGGAGCTTCATATCTGCTAACCATTTGGCAGTGAACCGTGCCATGGTTTGGCATCTGGCTTTGGCTATATAATAATATCCTTTGTTCGTCCCCACAGATCCCCGTGATGGACCGGCGACCTCACGAACAGCTTCGCTCAGCCAAGTCTCATTCGCCATCCGCTGCCGCAGTGCAAGACGTTCGCCTTCGTTTGCCCGCAACAACAGACCCGCCAGGACCCCAAAATCCTCCAAAGCAATTAGCATGGCTGGTAAGTTTACCTCGACTTCATATGGTTTCCATGGTTCTTCTACAGTGCGCTGTTGAACTACTCACCTGCGTTTTCTCCGTAGATATTTGGTGCCACAGGCCATATTGGCCGCTCCCTTGTCAAATGTACCCTGGCTCACGGTGACCTCGTTGGGATCGTCGGACGCACCTTCGAGAGCTCCCCATCAAGCATGGAAGCCCTCCACTCAGAAAATAAAAACTGCATCGGCCTTCTCTGTGACGTGCGGGTCAGCGAAACTGTCCGCGCCGTGATTGACAAAACTATCGAGCACTTTGGCCGCATCGATTGCATTGTTAACTGCTCAGGCTATGGCATCGTGGGTGCCTGCGAGGATCAGGATGAATACGATATCCGAAACCAGTTCGAGACCAATTTCATTGGCACGTTGAATATCCTGCAACACTCTCTCCAGTATTTCCGCGAGCGGCGCGCCGGGAGGTACTTGATATTCAGCTCTACATCCGGATCGCTTGGTGTTCCGGGACTGGGACCATACTGTGCGACCAAATATGCTGTGGAGGGCCTTATTGAGAGTATGCTCTACGAGATTGACGCGTTTAACATTAAATGCACCCTGGTGCAACCGGGACACATGCGTCGGGACGATTTTGATCCCCCTGGAGCCCCTCCGGGTACCGCTGCTCCAGACTTGTCGCATTCCTCCCGACTCCCACTGTTCGGGCATTTCTTCATCAAGCCTGCAAGTGAGCCGTATAGCTCAGCGACTGCTCCAGCTGCCCATGCTCGACGTATCATCCAGTGGATGGGTGATCAGCAGCCTACAAGCGCGGTGAAGGCAGCCGAGTTAGTTTGGCAGCTGGCGCATTGCTCGTTCCCGCCATTACGACTCCTTCTAGGCAGCTACGCCGTAGAGAGTATTAGAGATAGGCTGAAATGCATCACTGAGGAAATCGAGGAGTGGAAGCATTTGAATTTTCCGCTCGCTGATGGTGATCCACATCATGATCATCACGCCCACACAAATGATGAGGCAGCTGGAACTAATGACAATTCGAAGAGTGAGAGTGAGGACAATCCGATATAGCATGATGTGCCAGTGCAGGGATGATTTATTCTCGATGATCACGGCCGTCGCATACAGACGACGATAAAATGAATCCGTTTGACCCAGGGATACACTTGATAACTATGCATGACAGGTTACTCACTATAATCCGAGATGGACAAAATTTGGTCACACATGAACAAAACGGAAGTTCTAAGGAACACGAAACCCTTGGAAATTAATACCGTGAGCGTTTTTTAAGTACTTTGCAAAATTAGCCGCAGCAAGGTCGTCAAAATTTTCATATTTTGCACCCAGTCGATACGCTGCAGCAATGCCAGAAATACATGCGACTTCATGAATGTCCTGCGTCGATTCTGTCAGCGAACGATGAGCTAGCTACACTTCATGCATTGGCTCCGAGTTAGACATGATGTCACCACAAACGCCCATGACCCCGCAAAATATTTTTTTGTGCCCGTTGATAAATCGAATGGCCGGAGTGACTCTAACATAATGCTGCCAACGGTGAGATAACTGATGCTGCCACCTCCGCTCGATGGCAGTGCTTCTCATCGATCTTATCTGCTGTCCACAGATGCTCCAATTTAGCATCCAAGAAATGGCTTTGGAAAATGTGACGATCAAAAGGCAGTGCGGCTTGTCCCGATTTGATGCCTGGCTGGACCTGATACTGGAAATTCGAACAATCAAATGCCGGCTCCATCTTGTTTCTTTTTTCTTTTTTTTTCTTTTTAGGGTAAGATCGGGTCCTAAACCACATAGAACCGCCCTTCTCTCAGGGTCGCTAATTTTGCCCACAACCTGCATGCTTCGGCTGCTGGGACGCAAAAATCATTCTGTCGAAGGCCTCTGTGACGCTGTTGTGACCATGTACTGGACTGCCATTTCCAGTATCGTTTGTTAGCCAACATCGCCACAAGAGCGACGCCATGACGATCTCTGCGTACGATCTTAGTGACCTCGATATTAAAACGGATCGTGACCCCTTGGAGCATAGACGAATTCCCCAGTCGCGGTAGAAGAGCTGCATGTTGGGGAAAGTAAACGTGCTTGGAAGATTGGGTACAATGATATTGGGTCGTAATCCCATACTTTCATTTCAGGTTCATGAGAAAGTTGCTGGAGCAGACCACATGGAACCTCTTCCGTCTGATTCCCCGTTCCAAGCATGATAGCTGCAAGAGGAATAATCATATTGTTTCGGAACTCCTTGCTAACCGGAACAATCCAAGAAAAATTTTTTGACGGGCAATATCCAAAACGCCATTCCACCTTTCAAAATGACCTCAAGCGCTTTCCCAAACCTTTTAACCTCTTTTGCATGTTGCACAATCATTGCCGTCGGAATCACATTCGTCCAAAAATTTTCCTTGCCCTTCCCAAACGATATATCTGCAATTTAATCTCTTCTGGCTCAAAGCCACAATCCCGCAGAGATTTGAAAGTATGGCGGAATAGGCTTGGTCCACGTTGCACACCATTGTTCAGCCAATCCGCGCCATACAAGCGCCGATCTAACGGTAACTTACGATATCACAACCCCGCCGGCGAGCTGGCGCGTTCTACGATCGTGACACCGAATTTGTTTGGGTGTTCAGCTAAAGTTGCTGCGCATGACTAGAGTGGGCTTTTGTGTGATTGAAATGTTTGGTTCCTGTTTTATTATTCCTGGCTAATGGGTTTGGGGCAGAGGGAGGGGGACGGGGACGCGGAGGGGGATGGGAGAAGGAATGGGCTTTTCCTGGTTGGTTGGTTGCTTGCTTGATGTGCTATCTTCCTTTAGGGTTACTGGCGTACCATTCCTGCTGCTCCGACTCCAATTATAAGCACCTTCTGCCTGTCAGTGGATTGCGTTTTGAATACCATTGCAACTTATTTCCGCACGTAACCGTGCCATGCTTACTCACTCTCTCTAGTGAGTGCGCCACAGCGTACGGAAAACCACAGTGTATGGAAAATATTATCAATATCTTCATTCTTCATCTTCAAATAATCATCATTAATTATAACCATGTCTAAATCTTCTAATTACACTGAGGAGCAGTTGCAAAGAGCTGTTGACGCGTACAAAAGCAATTCAAAATTAAAAGTCACATCTCTGTCGCGAGAATTCAAAGTCCCATATGCCACCTTGTATGGGAGGATCAACGGGAAGAAATCAAGGACTATGAGGGTTCCACTGAATAGAGCATTGAATGACAGCCAGAAGGAGGCAATTAAGATATGGATTCATCAGTTGGATATTAATTTTTGCCCACCCACCATCGAGCATATCAAAACCGCCGCGAACCGCATGTTGAGACAGCATCATACAGATCCAGAGACCGCACCTCCCACAGTAAGCAAGATGTGGGCATATCGATTCATCAAACGCCTGCCAGATTATGAACAGGTCAAGCAAAAGCCCATGAATTCAAAACAGGTGTCTTGCGAGGATATAAGCTTCATTATCAACTGGTTTGATCGATATGAAGCTGTCTTCAATCAATATCACTTTTTCCCCTGCGATATCTACAACTTTGATGAGATTGGATTTCAAGAAGAAGAAGGATGTGGACAGTGGGTTATAACCACCTTTAGAGACACAAATTCCATCATACAGTCATCATACTCCCGCGGGTTAATAACAGTGGTGGAGTGTGTCAGTGCAGAATGGCACAGTATTGGATCCATTGATTATAATGAAATTGAAGGTTCATCTAGAGGATTGGTATACACACTCCAACTTACCTGACAACTACACCATCACCGCATCCGAGTCTGGCTTTACAAATGATGAGATTGGATTTGAATGGATCAAGCGGTTCAATAAAATGACAAAAAAGTGTCAAATGAGCAGTCATTGACTGCTATTAATGGACAATCATGATTCTCATCTCACAGAAGAATTCATTCAATACTGCAACCTTCATAAGATTATTCTATTCAGATTCCCATCTCATACAAGTCATATTCTACAACCTCTTGATGGCGTACCTTTTCAGCAGTATAAGCATTATCATACAAAGGCAGTTAATGAGGCCGCCCGCTATGGATATGAGCAGTATGATGGCAGACAATTCCTTGCTAATCTGGAAGGCGTCTGACTGCAAGCATTCAAACCTGGCACTGTGAGAGCTGGCTTTGCCGACCGCGGAATGTATCCAGTTAATCGCGATATAATTCTCAATCGATTGAGACCTCTTACCATTGATGATGCCCTGGATCTCAACATATATGATGGTGATGGTGATGTATGCAATCACTTTACCCCGCTGCCTGCAGATCGACCGTCAACTGCCTCTTTGCAATTAACCTCCCCAGAGACAGTTGCAAAACTACATCGCCAAATCGATGCAGCAGCCAAGGCCTTACAAGATGTGAAGGATACCCTTACACCTGGTTTGACAAGGTGGTTGGACAAGATCTTCAAGGGTAGCATGGTCCAGGTGGAATTGAACGCGCACCGTGAGGGTGAACTTGCAGGTCATTATTGAGCAAATAGACGTTGGGTCGTCAAATCCTCCTGCAGGCAGGTGCAAGTAGGCGGAGTCCTCACTATTAAGGATGTCAATCGCAAGATCGCGACCCGTAGAGCAGATGAGATGAAAAAGACATTCAATAAGAATCTTCAGTCGATTGGAATCAAACCTACAAAATCTACAGCCACTCAACCACAACAAGATAATTCTATAGAATCTCAATCTACAGTGGATTCTACACCTTCTAATGAGTATATAGATAATCTTTATGTTATAGATAGATGTGGTGGTGATTATTAATTAATTTTCAAAGATCACTATATTCAAAATATTTTCCGTACGCTGTGGTTTTCCGTGCGCTGTGGCGCACTCACTAGAGAGAGTGAGTAAGCATGGCACGGTTAACTAGTTACTTACTTAGCTGTGGGGCATGGCGATGCGATTGCTTCGGCGTGGATTTTGTTTCTGGGATTGATATCTCTAAGTTCTCAATTCGCGATTGGTAAAAATCTGATCAGTATATAATAAGCAAACATTTCACTGTGGTGGATTCTGTTCATGTTTCAGAGAGGAAACCTTTGAAAGACAAAGCAATATTAATGGTCCGAGTCAGGGCGATGATGTCATTGCACCAGCCTCAAACACGTGATATTGAGTTTAGCCTTTCCCTTGGAACCTTGAGCTGTCTGTTGAAGGAACATTTTTGAGATAAAGGGCAGAGATGAGTATGGGGAGTAATTTGGAGTGTTGGTGATGATTTAAACAAAAAAAGCCCAAGCTTAGAGAGAATTGCGTTGCCCTGATTCCTTTTTGTTTTGTCATTTTCCTGAGAACTCTCTTATTTATACCCCTTCCCAAGCTATAGACATACGCACGACGCTTCATGCGGCGCCATTTGCCGCCATTCTATTTAGACGCATTACCATATCTCTTATTCAAACGCTCATTCAGGACACCAACGACAAGAATAGTAACAAAAGCAGCGCCACTGCTTGGAGGTAAATGTCAAAGGCATTACATGATGGATATTCATGATTTCTATGGTCATGATGATGACGAACATATGAGAGCTGCCATCCGTGCATCGTTATCAGATGTAAAAGCACGGCCACTACCACCGCCTACGACGGCATCCGCAGAGACAGTTTATGGCGAGTCCAATTTTGTTGATCTGACTGTTGATTCCGACTCGTCGCAGTCAGACCCTCAAAGACCGGCGATAGTCACTACTACGGCTTCCAAGGAGGTGGTTGACGAGTCGGATGCGGAACTTGAAGAAGCGATTAAATTATCGTTGATGGGTCATGGTTCTTCAAGAAATGCTAGTACAGAGGGGAACCAATCTTCTGGCCTGGTTGAAGGGTGTGGAAAGATATCCAAAGAGGATACTCCTATTTCGACCAGCTCAAACCCACTGGTGGGTATTTTGGGAATAGATCGCAAGAAGATGGAGGAGGAAAGATTGGCGCGACTCAACAGGAAGAGAAAAGCGTCGAGTACTCCCGGGTCACCTGCCTTGAAACATGCCGCAATCGTGATGAAATGCGAAGATGTCCCTGCTGGTGCTGCGGTTCCTGGCCCCAATCCACGTGCAAACGCTCCGCGAGTAAGTGGCAATGAGACGATAAACATTGGGACTTCGTCACATCCCATGCCATTGCCATCCGCTCCCTTACAGTTCCCGAAAGGTGCGGTCAAGAAGACCTGGGCGTTTGGCTATGATAGGACAGGTGACGATATTAAATTCGAGGAAGTGGTCCAGAAATCTGATCTTGAACTTGCCGTCCTAAGTTCTTATATGTGGAATGTGGATTGGATGTTTTCTAAATTTGATATCAAAACAACGAGGTTCCTTCTCATTATGGGAGAGAAGGAAGAAGACAAGGTATGGCATATATCGATGTGCAGATTTGGTTCATCCGAAGCCAACGGCATGTTTATGCGCAACTGACATATTCAACAGAAACGGGAACTGGAAAATGATACGAAATCAATGGGGTCCGTCAGACTATGTTTTCCTCCGATGGAACCGCAAGTGAATTGCATGCATTCGAAACTTATGTTACTTTTTCATCCGGATTACCTTCGAATTGTTGTGCCAAGTGCAAACCTCGTCCCATTCGACTGGGGAGAACAGGGAGGTGTTATGGAAAATGTAAGACCCCAGAAATACTTTATCTGTCTTTCTTCTAACAAAATTATACGGCTCCTATTTGTCAGATTGTCTTTCTTATCGATCTTCCTCGGAAATCGCCGGATTTGGACAACGATCCTCAGACATCATTCCTCGATGAATTAGTTTACTTCCTCCAGGCTTCTACCGTAAATGAGCAAATTATAAAAAAGATGCTTCGGTTCGATTTCAGCGCCACGAAGGATATCGCATTTATCCATACAATGTATGTATCTTGGCTGTCTTGAAAATTGCTTGATTAGATTAATTAACTGCTTTCTTTAGTGGCGGATCTCACACGGACCCGAAATGGGAAAAACCGGCTTGTGCGGACTTGGAAGGGCTATAACCTCCCTGAGTCTTCAAACATCTCAGGATATAAACCTCGACTACATTGTAAGCTAACACATGATTCTTTGATCTCCAATTTTGCTGTACGATTCTTACAGGTCTTTCAGACTTCCTCAGTGGGCTCACTGAATGAGCAATTTCTGCGATCTATATACCTCGCAGCACAAGGTAAACTCGCGACAAAACTGCGTTTATCAATATTTGTTTAGCCTCACTAATACTACATACAGGAGACAATGGCTTAAAAGAATTAACTCTTCGCACTTCAAGAACTTTCCCCTCCGAAAAATGGGGAGTTGTAACGAAAAAAAACGATGGCGCAAAGTGGAAGGACAAATTCCGCGTCTATTTCCCATCGCTCAACACTGTTCGTAATTCTAAAGGTGGCATAGAGAATGCTGGGACGATATGCTTTCAATCAAAGTGGTACAATTCAGCGACATTCCCGAAAGATATTATGAGGGATAATATCAGCCAAAGAGAGGGCTTGTTAATGCACAACAAGGTATGCATAGGTGCTTACCAAAGAAATAAAAAATTGTATATTTTCAAAACGACAAGTAATATGTACTTGTCTAACATATTTATGACTTTTATGTATAGATGCTTTTCGTCCGTCTTGATAAACCCATCACCAGTGTGAAGAACAACTCCATCCGCTATTCTGGTTGGACGTATGTTGGGAGTGCTAATCTCTCAGAAAGTGCATGGTAGGTACACCCCAAAATTCTCATTTTTCCTCTGACATTGATCTACCCTAGCCACTACGAGTACATCAATCTTCAACTTGCCAAAAGCTATTTGGATCTCTCTCCTCTGTTGTACTAACCCAAGTGCCTTTTCTCCCGTTGATCCAGGGGCCGACTTGTCCTTGACCGCGCAACCACGAAACCAAAATTAAACTGCCGAAATTGGGAATGCGGTGTTGTGATTCCCATTCGCCACAATGATGAAGAAAAGTCATCGTACATCCCGTCAACTAGAGGTATAACTACTTCAGTCGCCGAGTCCGAAGGTGGGAACACCAGCGCCGACTCTGACGACGGGTCAAGGGTCGCTAGTGTGTTCGAGCCGACGGTCCCTGTTCCGATGAAAGTTCCTGCACAAAGATATAATGGGCGTGATAGGCCGTTCTTTTATATGGAAGATTGATGTTGATTCTAGAAGATTCATTGAAGCTATTCTATTCTGGCATTTCTTTCCTGCGAGAAAGGTAATATGATATTCATGGAAGGGAAACCGACGGCAAATCGTCAGTATGGTTAAGTCTAGATAGCACAGTTTTTTTTTTTTGTTCATCCGTACGTCGAATAGCGGAGCGGTTGGCATGACTTTTTGTTTCCCAAGCAAGGTCCTTAAAGGCCTTCCCACCTTTTTGACAAGGAAACCAACGAAACACTGCATCTTTAAAGGTAAGGTTTCTAAAACAAGAGATTTTCTACTTTATTTCTATCCCTCTCGCTTTCGCATGGTTGGGAAACACTTTAAAGAACGTGTTGAGAACCTCAATCCAAAAATACGTAAACAACTCTAATAGCAAAAAATAAAATAAAATAAAAAATAAAAAATAAAGAAGAAGGCAACTTCGGCTCTGTGAAATCAATGGACACGAGCCATATGAAATCCTTGCTGGAATCATTACTTTCCAGCCACTTCACAACTAGGAAGCGAACGTCAATTTCACATCCCATGCACTTGCATCCTGTCCTTCCACACGGATACGGTCATCGTGGACAAAAGACATTGGACTATAATACCTCCTTAGGATTTCTACAACTGATAAAATCGGTTCCTTTTGTTTATTGTAGATTCCGACGCAGCGTCCAAGAGTATACCAGGGCCTGTTTAATAGATATGGATCCATCCATGGATATCTACAAAAAAGAAATCCCCCACTCAGCTTGAAGATTTTCGGTTTATTCACCTTTTTTTTGATCGATATGTAGTCTTGTATTCGTATGTGCTCCACGTGCAATAATTAGTTAGTTACATATCTTAAATCCTATCTTGTCTAGAATATATCATGTGTCTCGTTATCTTCATGTTTCCTGCCGGACCAATGGCACTAGAAAATGCCTTGAGGAAAGAAAAAAATGAATGGTGGGCAGTATGTGCTGGAAGTTGTGCATCGCGAATGGTCAAACACTCAAATAAACCTAAAATATAGAAGAATAGAAAAACGAAAGAAAGGAAAGCAACACCATCCCGATACTAAAAGCGAAGTAAGTAGTCTATCAGCAATATATATATATGAAATAAAATAAATAAAATAAGAAGCAAAAGGAGAAGCAACAGAGGAAAAGTTATTATATGCTGACGCAATCCCAAAATCCAAACCATTATCCTGAATATGAATAATAAGGGGGAATTAAAAGTTTAGTGAAATCATTATAAACGAGGTCGTCCATGAGATACCTACTAACTATCCCCAATAACCTCTTTCACCTTTTCGCTATCTTGCCCCACCTTATCCTCCTTCCCCTTTCTAATCAGCCTCGCCAAACCTCCCACCCAAGAAAGCGCCTTTTCCACGATACTGACAGCAGTCCCGAAGCCGAACGTCCATCCCCTGACCCTAACTGTATATATCATGAAATATACCAGGCCCCAGTTAATCACCACAAAGGCCAAGAATATCCCGAAACCTTTCCATTTATCCCCCTCATGCACATTCAGGGTACGCATATATTCGGCTCCATTTGAGTATGCGCAGTATGCGCAGTCAGCCGTGGCGTCTGGGTTCGTGAGGTAGCCTGATCGTGCGACGGAGGAGATGAAGTTACCTGCGTAATCTATGCAGGTTTGGCCGGGAGGCGGGTTAAAGTGTGTGAGCTCATTCGGGGAGCAGATGACTTGTGTGGTGGGGAGGGTGGCAGAAAGCACGCCCCGGAACCACCATGTGGTTGGATTTACGTAGTAAATCCAGTAGCGCCAAAAGGGCGGAATGGTGAAGTAAGGGCGCATGATGCCGTTGAAGAAAGTTACCATTACGAAGAAAAACGGGAGGACCTGGTTGTGTGTCGGTTAGTTTAGTTTGGAGCCGCCTGGAATCTGTAAATGGGGAAAGTTTTGGGCCTACATTTCCTATAACGGTGAACGAAGGTGCGAAGGCACATATCCACTGTCCCCAACTTGCTTGGAAGAAGAAGAAGAGCATGCACATTAAAAACACGTAGCCGGAGGTGCTTGAGTCGGTAGGTAGGCCGGTGGCAAAATACCAGAGCAGCCAGTAAACGACGCTGGTCACAACAGCTGCTGGAAGTTCACAGACAATATTTGCCGTGCAGAATGCAAACCAGCCGTAGATTCGGCTCGGTTGCTCACGCACTTCCCAGAGCATTCTATTCATGAAGAACTTTGGAAGGATTCCGTTCATGAAAACTGGCGGGAGCATGATGATCATGAAAATAGTAAACATCCGGTTTTGCATGCTAGATACCGTATTTCCCAATTGCCAGAAAGTCTGTGTGGTAAGTTATAATGTTAGTACATGGCCCAAGATGGTGGCTCAATTCAAACGAAGAGGTGAACATACAAAGCCATTGAAGATACCAATGATGGCGCTGATGAACAGCTTTCCATAGAGATACGATGAATCTCTCCAGTAATTGAGAAATAGTCGTTTTGTGAGCATCAAACACTGTAGAGTAATGGACGCAGCATATTCGTATTGGGAATCGCTAGTCTCCAAGGGCGGATGTTGGCTTCGTTCGAGGTTGATTTGCTCCACATGTCTTTTTAACTGAGCAAGCTCGTCGGAATTTCGCCACTCTTCATTCCAATCGATTCGCTTCCCGTTGATTTTACGGCTCTTCGCGGCAGTCTCGAGGATAAATTCCGCAACGTTTTTAGTAGGAGGACAATCGACTCCCCTTTTCGCAAAATAATCAATTACGGCACTACCGTTCTCGCCAACAGGTCCGGAGTAAAAAGTATTTCCTTCCGGGTTTAATGCTAAAATAGTGTCGAATTCCTGGATTAGTAGGGATGATGGCTGATGGATGGTGCAAATAATAGCTTGTCCTGCCTGAGACAGCTTTTTCAAGAATCTGATGATAGAAAAAGCTGCTTGACTGTCCAGCCCACTAGTGGGTTCATCCAAAAATAATAGCAAATTCGGTTTAGCTGCCAGTTCAACTCCAATGGTTAATCGCTTCCTTTGCTCAAGAGAAAGTGCACCGATGATGGCATCCTGAATATCCTCAAGTTCCAACAAACCGATGATCTGATCGACATAAGCAATTTTTTCTTCGCGGGGGACGCTTCTGCCTTGTCTCAAAATCGCTGAAAATTCCAACGCTTCTCTGATAGTGGCGGTAGTGTCGTGGATATCCATCTGTTCGCAGAAACCGGTTCCTCTTTGGAAATCTAGGGGAAGGGATTGCCCATCAACAAGCATATTTCCGGATACAACACCGATTCGCTGTCGCTGGGCTAAAGTGTTGAGAAGTGTTGTCTTTCCTGAACCAGACGCGCCCATCAAAGCCATCATAGTTCCCGGCTTCACGTAACCTGTTATTTTATTGAGGAGTTTTCGCTCACCGTTCCCATAAGGCACCGTATATTCAACATCATTCCAAGTGAAAACCCGATCACTGGTAGAAAGGTTTGAAAATTCAACATCATCATTGTTCGTGGTCGCCGAAGATCCCAAAGTGGCAACGCCACCAACATCTCCAATCCGCTCGACCTTTCCTGTCTCTTCATCGTTGGATTGGCCTTTCTGCTGAAGTTTGGACATTGTTTTCGTTCTCTTGGATTTTTTGAATACCATTACACCGCCTCCACCTGTGGCAAATGGGAAGACTTCGGCAGCGACTGCAGTGACTAAAATGTACGCAGCTGTGAAGGCGATGATGATCCCAAAGTTGCGCCAAAGATGGCTCCGGGAACTACATTTCAAACTATTAGACAGTGCACCTTGTTTTTGAATTTCTTACTATACAATGTGGGTGAGATACGAACAATTGAAATGAATAGTCCAAGTATCGAGCTCCTGATACGCTGTTGCTGCCCAAATGAGAACCAGGAAGAGAGCATCCTTGATACTGTGGGTCGATATTAGGGCCACGCGGCACCAGTTGCTCGGGCGAACATTCCATAACACGGTCCGAAAACTCATTACTCATGACGGCTTCGAATGAGTATGATAGCGGATTGACATAAAACAGCCAGCCAAACCAGGGGGAATCGTGCAGCAACGCTTGTTTTGGGATTGCCTATATAAAAACCTGCATCAGTTTGTCGCCCATAACTGCAGAAGTGGAATTTCATCACTTACGTATCCAACGAAGAAGATAAGTACGTTAAGACCTTTTTTTTACGTTGTTAGCATGAGAATCCGAGTCCAAATGAAGTCTTAGATAAAACATACTTATTCCTCCAAAACGGACAGCATCGTCTATGGTCGCTGACAACGCTGCAAACATGCGATACATGGCGGTGATAGATATCGTGGTAACGTAGATGAACAAACAATAAATGAAGAATTTGGAAACATCAACGTCGAATCCCATGAGGAAATATCCCACCAACGCGAGTACTACAAGCGTTGCGAAGATGACGGGAAAATCAACAAGGACGCGAGCGATAACAACAGCGGAGGGGCGATAAAAGGCATAGTCCTTGTGTCTTGCGATGATCGTTCTGCCCGAAACGGCCGACATCAACTGCGACAGTTGAAGCCAGCCTAGGAAAAGAATGGAGAAGAACAAGGCACCTCCGCGAGGGAAGGCTCCATTGGTATCAAGGGACTGACCATAGAAGAAAGAACCAACAATGAGGGAAACAGAAATGATGATGAAAAACTTGGTGTACAGAGCGGCTTTATCTCCCCAAAAAAGCCAAAATTCTCTCTTTGTGCTAGCAATAACTTGACGTGCGAATGACACAGTGTAATTTGACCGTTTTGAGACGGTTTTGCTTTTTGCTGTAGGTGAAATGTCAGTCGACTCCGGAAATGTGAGTCTTTACGGGGAGCTCTGACTTGTTCACTTACATTCTCCTACATGCTTTTGGAATTGACGAGTGTCAGCAGCATCAGTTTCCTGGATTTGATTCTCGTAGTCATCAATCTCCTTCAGAATTTCTTTGTAAATATCACTATTTTTGAATGCTGCTTCCAGTTCTTCAGCGGTTTTAGGCGTCGAAGCTTCTCGGCCTGGCTGAAACTGACGAACATTTGGGTCGCACAAGGAAGTAAGAAAGTCCGCCGTTGTGCTTGTGATATGTTAGACAAATTCAAAACATATATGAACATCATGCGAGAGAAACGCATATCACTTACGATCGTTCCGGGAAGTGGAATCCCAGATCTTCAAAATAAATCTTTGCCTGATGTGCAGGGCCTTGGTAAAGCATGCGTCCTTCCTCGATAACCATAACCTTATCCATAAGGTCATATATCCCCTCTCCCGCCTGGTAAAGTGTAACAAACGTGGTTCGATTGCTCACGTCCGTCATGACTCTGAGAGACTTGACATAGTCAAGAGCAGTGCTGGCATCAAGGCCTCGAGTCGAATTATCCCAGCAAACAACTGAAGATTTGGTAGTCAGGGTCTCTGCGATGCCGACACGTTTGCGCTCACCGCCAGAAATGCCACGGACAAACTCGTTGCCAACGGCAGTGTTTTTAGTGTGACTAATGCCGAAAATTTTCAACAAGCCGTCGACGACGATTGGGATCGAATCCCGGTCTCGCTTCTTTGTCTTGTTCATCAGAGCAAATTTCAGGGTCTGCTCCACTGTTAAGTCTGGGAAATGTTGGTCATCCTCGGGATTGTAATTGACCTCCCCGCGGAATTGGCTGTCTTGCTCTTCCGCAGGTATCCCGCCATAACTGACGTCTCCGGAAACAGCAACGAAGGATGATCGATTGTTGGCGATGGATTTCAGAAAGGTAGTACATCCCGCGCCTGGTCTCCCCAGGACGAGCATTATCTCCCCATCTCTAAGAGAGCCCGAGAAATTGTGAAGGAGAGTGCGGGTGGGGGGGGGCTTTCCGAATCTTAGTGCGGGGATGAATCGAGTAACAAGATTATAGAGATCAGGCCCAAACGTTCCCTTCACAGCATCCGGCAGCGTCTTGACAAATGACGAGGTAGCATCAATGCCCTCGACTGTCAAATTTTTGAAGACCACCCCGATCTTTTTTCCAGGCCCGCCTGCCGTCGTTCTCCGTTCGAGACCTCCGCCTCTCAGAAAGTCACCCAACTCGAAATCGTCGTCCTTTGAAAAAACAGAATCCAGAGCGTCATGATCAATGGCCATGTCCTTGTCTTTCTCCATTACAACGCTGGTGGAAGATCGGCGGATATGACTTCTCCTTCCCTTCGTAGAAGACTTACTTCTTTGGAGACTCAATTTGGTCAACTCTTTCGACATTTCAGCGAACTCCTCCATTGCACCACGACGAGATACTGGGTCACCCTCGGCATATTCACCCCATCTACTCTCGCGACTCGATTCGGATAGCGGTTTTTCTGTGTCCAGATCCGCAGGTATCTGCGAGGGGCTGGCCCGATCAGTCTCCAGTGCCACCGCTACGTCGGCACCAGGATTAGGCGGTGATGCCATTGGGGGAAAGCTGGTCTAGGGAACGGGGAAAATGCGATGGAAAATACCGGGCCGCTTAGATGCCCTCTGCCGCAGGTAGCGACACTGATCACTCGTTGGAAGATCCAGTCCGAAAGTTAAAAGGTGCTTTTTTTTGGTTTATCCGGACCGTATTAAGGCCCGAGCAACACGGTGACACCGCGCAACTCACACCGAACAAAAGAGGGCATGCACCTAAATGGTATTGCAGAAAATAAAAGTATGTTTCGCAATTAGCTTCTTTTAGCTGATGAAAGGAGGCTTGTTTGTGCTACCTGTCAAGTCGTTGACAGCGACAGCGTGAATTGAAAATGGAAGAAAAACAGACGAAAAGCAGCATTCATCCAGTCCCTCCATGATCAGCCATTCGAACGTAGCTACTTATATGTGCTTCAGAATCTCCTTCCGATGAGCATGCCGACTAGTCAATGAGCATATTGTTGATTTTCTTTTCTTTTTTTTTTTTTTTTTGCTTTTGTGCATTTGTCAGACTGGAGCTTACTAGAAATCGAGAAAGATGATGTGATAACTCTGATTTGCAAGCAGCTACTCCGAGTGCGGCAAAGTGTCCCCGCTTTCGTCCGTATCCCATATAAATCTAGTGCGACTGATGGGCCAAGAAGTGCATCATCCCTGGGAACTGCACCTCAAGGGTTTTTTGCATCGAATCTAAGATACAAAGCAACAGGGATGTTTCAGAGCTGGCTGCGAAATTTCCGTAGTATGCTGCACCGTCGTAGAAGGAACCCCTTGGCCACTCCGGCCTTCATTGATTCCTGGAGCTTGACAGCTCTCGTGGCGGCGTAAAACCGGTAATCAAGAGCTCCATCCACTGCCCCGCCACCGATGTCAAACCCGATCCAGGGGATGGGGACGGTTGACTCATTCTTCGTCATCGGAAATTGGGTGCGGGAACCTAGCCCAACACAATGCTCCCTGATGGTGTTCGTGAGATGGGTCCCTTGTAGGACTAGTTAAGGATATCGTTGGCCGATGGATTGCTTTCAAGACAGGAGGATGTGTATGCCGTCCAACAAGTGTCCGGTAAGGATAACTCCGTTAAAACCGCCCCACAGTCATGACCGCTAACATTGGTGCTTGCTCGAGGAGCAGCCCAAGCAGGGACTCTGGGCATGTTGCAAATTAGTTCGGTGCAAGAGTGGATATGATGCCGGCGCAATTTGTAAGCCGACTGAGGGTAGTTTCACAACTCGGAACCCCGAAGTCCATAAAACCCTCTCACCTCGCCCTGTAACCCTTGTAAGTATTGGCTACCCTTGGAACTGTCGAGAGAATTCTTAGCAAACAATTGAATGTGTCAACGATGACGGAGAATTTCATGTTGGCGACGTTGATCCCACTGGTCAACGCTGACAAATCCCCTGACCCTCCAAGTCTGGGACAGGAAGAATCAACTCTCGATGCCTGAATACATACAGGTCAGGCATTTGACAAACGTGAGCAGCCAAGGCGAATACGTCTGCAATAACGGATGAGCTGGCGTTTGAAGCTGAGAAGACTCCTCGCTTACGAGTATTGCACTTCAATGCCACCCCCTTGCCGCCCCTTTTCCACATCGGACAATCGCTTCGCTTCACAATCCTTAGCGGATGTCCAGATAACGTACAGTACATAGTACTATATATATACAGTCCATGTATGTACATGTGCAATGTCCAATTTCCATTCGCGTCTTGCCAGTTGACAAGTAACTGCCCATATCACATCTTGCCTCTCTCAGTATATGCGCTTCCCGAAATTGTGCCAACACACAAAGTTGAGAAACTCCTACTTGTCTGGGGTGCCCATGGCCCTTTATGCTACATATATCTGTCATCAACAACCCATAACACATCCAGTTTATCAGGATGCTCTGCGGGGTGGCCGGGATGGCTTCTCAGGGAAATGAACCCCTCCATTTGTAGGGTACATATTCAGGTTGTACTCTTACGTACTGTACTCTATATACCTGCATACCTGGGTCTCTATGCATAGGTCCCCCGGCCATATATGGATCTCGCAATTTATGCGTACGCTGAACGTTGTGCGCATATTCCAGCGCGATCTGTGTCACCTTGCTGACGTGCGGGGATCCCATAGGAAACTCCAAATAATATAAAAGGTATCTCGGCCAAGGCAATGTTGCCGCAATGACCTCGGATATGTACGCAAATAAATATATATACACGCAGACGATGCGGCGGAAGAGGTAATTATGCATCTTCGCGAATTCGTAAAGCGGAAGAGAAGTCATAAAATGATGTTAAGAAGTTATATTTGCCACACATCAGGAGAAATAAGCTACGGATGACCAGGAACGAGCCCGGATTTGGGATGAGAAAATCCGATCTGTTGAGATGGAAGGAGAGTTAAGGTACCAGTGCATTTTACTCTAACCTTATCGCCGATAGATGGCGAAACAGCCCGCAGTAAGTTCCAGCGAATATCCAGATTGGTTCTATACCCAGGCAACATCTGTATGATTATGCGCTACCCGAGGGGATATCTACACACGCTCAAAGCCGGCAGCGTACCTCTTCCCCTTTATTCAAGATATGAATGACAAGCGGGGCAACGAAAAGGAAGAAGAAAAACATATTTTTTTTTTTTTTAAAAAAAAAAAAAAAAAAGAAAAAGAAAAAGAAAAAGAAAGGGAGGTATGAGCTGTGTATAATCGCACATACACACAGGCCACAGAACCCCGCTGGCCTTCCTCCTAGTTGCCTCCTACGACCCGCCGGCGATACGCATAATCGCCACCCTACCCACCAAGTTGACCCTTCTCCTCCGCCACGCCACATACCCACCAACAAACTACTCAACACCCCCATCATCATCATCATCATCACGAACTCCGCCACGCCACTCCTCCTTGATGTGATGTTACACTGGACCCAACCGCCCAGCCACAACTATCTACTACTACTACTACTACTACTACTACTACTACTACTACTACTACTACTACTACTACTACTACTACTACTACTATCAAAACACTGACAACGCGGACACTTGACACTTGGACAACGTCTAGGTCTAGGTCCATCCTAGACAAACCACCAACAGCTGCCGCTCCACTCCACTCCATCTCCACCCCGTCATGGGACCCTTCCCCCCGCCCCCACTTTCAGGGACTGCTGATTCGAGGAAGGGCGTCCGGTAGAAAGCCCAGAATCGCAAACGCCCCAGACGCACCAGACGCCCCAGAAGCTCATACATGGTAACGCCCACCGCTAGCTACTATGTCGTGAGTTGATTATGACAGATTAAAGATCGCTATCGTAGATATTGGGGGGAAATGGAAAATGTACATACATAGTTTACGGTCTAAAGGGAGCCAGCGCGGGTTACACGGTAGTTGTGCTTTCAGTCCCATCTCCACGACGGCAACGACAAACCTCACGAACGTACGACGACGACGATCATATCACATCACCAGGTAAACTGGCGGTTCAAAACTAATGTAATCCATCTACGTTTCAGCTATGTGACTAGAAGAGGGCGTTAATGTATATGTAAAATATAGTAGATAATGACAGGCGAGATTTTTTTT